GTGACCTTAAACACTTAAAGCTTCACCGGAGGCAAATAAGTTACAGAAGTCAGGTGCGTACTACGTTCTCGTTTCGTCAAGTTTCTGTTAATACATATACTTTCTTTATTTAGTGTTTCTTCCACCTGTCATCGTGTTCATGATTTTATGAATACATGCATTTTAAAATGGTACTCAACATGAGGGGGCTCTCGTGGCCTAGAGGTTAAGGTGTTGGCCTCTCATTCAAAGGTCCAAGGTTCGAAACCGTGTAGCGACCGAAAACATTTTCTTTTCTAAAATTGTCTCCTTTCACCTCCTTTCCTGCTCTCTAGCAATATTATGTAGTCTGCTTTCGTCTCCTCTTTCTGCCCCCACCCCCTCACCTCCTTAGCCCCCTCCTCTGGGCTCCTGACTCTTTCTGCAGCCTTTCTACTGCAACTCCTTGACTCCTTCTTACAGCTGTCTTTCTGCCACACCCCTGATCTTCTGGTAGGAAAGATCTCTAGCCTTCTCGGACAAGGGCGAATTATCTCGGAAGGCCCGTGTGCAAGTTGCGCACGTTAAAGATCCCATGGGGGTCTAAAATCGATAAGAGTAGGATTCGGCCACCACCCGGGCAAAATTCAAAATTTCCTACCTACTAAAAGTATTAGGAGTGTCCTGCACGCTCACATGACCGTATGCAGTTGCGAGCGCCGTAAGACACTTACCAAAACAAACAAACTCAACATGAGATTTTTTTCCACCGATGAATCTAGTTGGATAAATGTTGCTGGGTTTGTGGGTTGTTCTTTCTTTGGGGGGTTTTTGTGTGGTTTTGTTGTTGTTGTTTTGGATTTTTACAGTTTGTATGATTTGTTTGTTAGTTCGTTTGTTTGGAGTTGTTTTCGTTTTGCTTTGTTTTTTCCTCGGCGATGATGCTAGCTAAAAAAATCTACGACTGAAAAAAGTGAAGAGTCGTTTTAGTTAGTTTTAGTAGAGGTTTTACGGCGCTCGCAACTGTATAAGGTCATACGAGCGCCA